TTTCCTCACTGTTTGTTTGTTTGTTTGTTAAATCGTGACACATCAGTGTTTACGTGTCGCAGCGCTCACAAACTGTGGCTCCTATATATGATTCATTTAAATCCTCCCTCTACCTGCTTCTTACAGATTTCCGTCCCACCGTCGCTGCACACACACAGCTACCTTCCTCTTATTTATTTTTTTCTTCTTCCCTCTCTACAAATCAATCCTCTGCTACTATTTTTTTTTTCTTTTTTGACTTTCTTTCTTGCCTGCCTGCCTGCCATACTGTTTGTGTCTGCCATCTGCTATTCTGCTGCAGAGAGTCAAATGATTCTGAGTGTTTATCTCGTTTCACATTTTCTTCAGTTGTTCCACTCCTCCACTCTCTCATGTCTTCTGTGCTGCTCACAAACAGATGTACGATGACAGCGCTTGAAGAGGACCATTGATTTGGGCCAGCGAGCCTCACATGTCTCTGCTTTTCACCTATGCTGCTGCTTTTTCTCTTTTATTTTCTGCGTCTAATCTATCTATCACAAACTGCTCAAGCTGTGGCGTCGGGGTGACAGGCGGCCCGTGCGACTATAGACAGACAAGGCTCCAAGCTCATTGTTGTTCAGGCCACGTTCGCCGACAGCACAGCACTATGGGAGATACATGCCCCCCCCCCCCCCCCATCCTTGTGAGGAGGCCACTCTTATTCATTTGACTCCAAATTGCTTTTTTTTCCCCCTTCTTCTTCTTCTACTTCTTCTCTGCTCCTGCTCCTGCTCCAGCAGAGCTGGGGAGGCTGTGAGATTACATTTGCTGCTTTGGAAGGTTTCACCAAATATTGGTTTGACCTGGAAAACTCAGCAAGTTCACCATCGGCCACAGGGAGCGATGGAAACACGAGCTGCGACTGAACTCAAGATGGATTATTTTCCATTGGCTTCTGTCGTCGCGATGAATTCCCTGAATGTTTTAGTTTTGGGGGAAGGCTCGCCTCTTTAGTGGTTTCTTCCGTGTTGGTTCTTTTGTTTTGTTCAATATTTTATTTTAAAGTATCTTACGGATTCACTTTCAAGTCAAAGACAAAAATGTTTCTTAATTAACCCACGTTACACAAAACTATTAAATACTGGTGGATACAACACGAGTACAACACACTGATCTGAGGCACGGTGTCTTATCAGACCCTCAGACCCTCAGACCCTCTGAGTTTATCGTCCTTTAAAACTCCCGACGGTAACATTTTCCAATCATCCATCCAACAAGGACAACTTCCACATTTAACCCAATCACATTCTCAGCCAGAGAACTCAATAAAAAAGCTACCATAAAAACGTGGCCATAAACTTCTAATGACCACAACTAGTGCACCAAAAAAAAAAAAAACTAAAATTATTTTCTTGATATTTATAGGGCTACAATGTGACATTAGCGTGTGTGCTCATGCATCCCAACAGTGTTTGTTTGTTTAAGGAGAGGAAACAAAAATGTGTTGAATGTCATTAGATTATAACCAGCAGAAAAAACAACAAAAAAACAAACAAACAAAGCAGTGAGTGGAGTGGGGTGTGTAGTGACTTAGCCCTGTAATTAAAGAGGAACAATCAATCTGTACGACTGACCACACTACTTATGCCAAGTCCATGGAACGGCTGCAGTAAAGAGCTCATTTAGAACCATTAGGGACTGCAGAGTTAGCAAACAGCCCAGTCGTAATGACGGCTGATTCAAGTTCAAGGCTTGGCCTCTACATAAATGTAAGACTTGGTGGTCATAAGAGGGGGGCCGGCGGGGGGGGGACAGATCAGTGCATGGCTTCAGGTCCACAGAAAAGCGTAGAAAACACTCTGCTCTGGGAGAGACACTTGACAAATCATCTTTATCCCCGAGTGGGAGTTAAGACTTCAGCAGTCTGTCTTCCGCTTCATTCTGGGCCTCGCTCCCTGTTATAGGTCTGTCCTCTTTAACTCGCTGGTTTATTGGCTACCAAGGGTTTTTTGTTCCACCTCCAGTTGGCATCGTTTACGCAGCACCACCGTGTTGTGCCTGGTATTGTTCTTTATTCTAAAATATCTCAGGTCAAAACGCTACGTTACCTGAGGCAGCTGTGTCAGAACACAATGGAGTTTGAGGATGGATGGAAATGTTCTGGAAAAAAAAAACCCAAACTATCCCTGTGTTTCTGACACTGAAATGTTCCGGTCTGGTCAAAGACAAAAACAAAAAACAATGAAGAACATGAAAGAATGGAGCAGAGCTCCAAATGTCCTTGACCTCTAAGTCCAACTGCCCAGAGCGGAGTCTCCTATAGGGACAACTCCAGGCCCATGGTACGACACAGAACTCACCACTTCCTTTTTTTCATGTACGTGAACTTTTCCATCACTGCAGGGAAATCTCCCAGAGACTTTCATTTTTTGCATGGCAGAAATCTTTGATTGAGTTTTAGTGACCTGTGATCTCAAAGAACAGTCCTGGCCCTTTAACCTGCTTAATGGACTCAAACGTTTAAAAGGTTAAAAGACATCCGGTGCCTAAGGTGTTCAAAGGACTTAAAGGCTTAAAATACTTAAATACTAAAAAAAACTAAAAGCACTGGAAGCACTGAAGGAGCCAGAAGAAGTTAAAGGACTTAAGATACTTGAAGGAGGAAGATGTGAAGTACCTCAAAGGTTTAATGGACTTAAAGGAGACGAAGGATTTTAAAGACCTGGCTCTGAAAGAGTTAGAGGAAATAAAGTGCTTAAAAGATTTAAACAAAGAAGTTAAAATCCTAAATGACATGAAGGGATGAAGGTCTTAAAGGACTTGAAGACTTAAACTACACCTAGAGGACTTGAAGAATCAAACGACATGAAGGACCTGAGAGTCTCTTAAAAGAGTTGAAGGAAATTGAAATGTTCAGTTTGATGTACAGTCATTCTCGCAGAGACTAGTTTTCTTCCTGACCTTATATCCAGTAGTAGGTGTTCACCTTCTCACTGTAGCCCTGACCTCTGACCATCTCAAATGAACTGAGACCAGAGAAAAGGAAATCAGTTTAAATAAAAAAACTTCATCTCAAACTTAACACAAGAAACCGCTGCGTGAATTATCTGGGACATGACAAAAAACTGTCGGACCATCTGGTCATTTTTCTTTTTCATTATTCAAATACGTCTGCGTTCTCATACTTCACTGTTCTCACACTGGTCTGATTCAGCTCTTAGTCAGTGGAAATGTGTGGTGATTATGATTCCGCAGCCTGACGGGCTGCACAAACAAACATTTGTCAAGTTCGTAGTCAAAAATGTTGTGCTTTAAAAGCGTTAGTCACGAGAGAAGAAAAAAAAAATGAAATGTCAACCTTTGCACACTTATCAGACAGCGCTTAAAAAACAAGATGACTTCATCCTGGGTGGAGAGCAAACGTTCTCAAAGACGTCCAGTAAAACAAGAGATTCTTAATCTGCAATAAACTCAATCCCTCTGTTCCAGTGTTGTCCTCAATGTATCGTCGTGCCGTTAGTATCGCTGCATATCACCAGATAAAGACAAAGTGTTGTAGTGTATAGTGAGGCAGAGTTGGTAAAAGATTGAGTTTTAAAGTGAAAAACACTGAAATAATATTGTCCCACGCCAACTTCAGTCGATAAATAAACCTTTTTTTTTTTGTGAGCGGGCTCTGACAGTGCAGCGATGCCGTCGCCTCATTTATGTCGTCTATAAAACAGGCCTTTTATACTCAGTGTCATTAAATTTACAAAACAGTGCCCTGAATTAAATCTTCTTCCTCCTTTCCACTCATGGCCGTCCTGTCTGACAACATAAATCTTTGGTAACAAGCTTCCTTCCAATTATGACGCTTTTGTCGGGGAATATGGCAGCTGCCCCGAGCCTTTGATTTCACCGTGGCCCAGATCTGAATTGTAATGAGGACCGGGGTCAATCAATAATTTACTGCGTTTTAGGTTGAAAAAAAAAAAAAAAGAAAAAGAACGAAAGAAAAAGAAACCAAGCTCGTGGGCATAACAGGAATAGCGCTGTGATCAGAGCCATTAAGAAGCACATATATAGAACAGATTTAAAAAAAAAAAAAAAAAAAAATTCTTGTCTGAAGAGAGAACTGGAGGGGGTTGATAAATTTTTGTGTGTGTAATTAGGAAATCACAACTGCTGTGACTGATGGCAGACATATTGAGATATTCATGCCGTCTCCTGTTTAATGTGTTGTGGGAGTGAAAATACACACCAGCCACACAAGGAAATCTATTTCTCACTGAGGGAATAACTTCCCCAGACAAACAACACCGACTGTGTGATCCATTTCTTACCACAACACATTTATTAGAAAGTAAATATGTGCACACAAGGGTTGGTTAAGAAGTTTCAAAACAGATGTCGTCGTTTGAGATTTAATTCACTAAAACATCCTACGAAAAATACTTGTATTTGAGGCGAGTCCAGTTTAAAACTGCTTTTGAGATCCTACAAAAAAAAACACAGCCAAAGCTAACTTTGAATTTTTAACAAAATGCAAACGAGAGGCAGAATTTTAGTCAAGATTTGTAAAAAAACATTTTTTTTCTTTTCTGAAAGAACATCTGGAAGGAATGTGATTACAGTCATTGGACGAGGCGAAAAGACGTGAAAGACATCCCCAAGAATCACGAGACAAAAAGAAAAATCACAAACGGAAATCAAGTTTGAAGAAGAGTTGGAACAGAGGTCACCTAGAGACATTATTTTGTTATTTTAACAAGATAAAAATTTCTGTCATTTGAATTTGTCTGGAAACATTTTGACTGGGCCTCGTCTATAATTCAAACGCAGCCGTGGACTGACTTCTGTACGATGTGGGTTCAGTAACCTGCACACAACAAAACAACACTCCATCGATTCAAAACCTCAATTAAATGCTACTAATGGTTGATATTTGGAGTGAACTGCACGCCGCGTATTGATTGGCTGAAACTAAGCGCTCCATTCATTACTATATGTTCATCATAAGGCTCTAACTCTGCCTTTCCCTCCGTCTGTTCCTCCAGTGCCCCCGGAGGACCCCGTCATCAGCGGGGGGCCCGTGGTGAGTCTGAGGGCCGGGGATCCGCTCAATCTGACCTGCCACGCCGACAACGCCAAGCCTGCAGCCTCCATCATCTGGATCCGCAACGGAGAGGTCCTTAATGGAGCCATGTACTCCAAGGTAAGCCTGGAGCTGTGTGTCATAGCGGCTGGGAATCAAACGGTGTTGGAGCGGCGTGGGAGGAGGGCCACGTCTGGGAATATATATTTATATTTACATTTATGGATTTAGCCGACGCTTTGGATCAAAGCGACGAACAAGAGGAGGACCTGACTTAACTGAGGTGGAAGAAGGAGAAGGAGAGGACAGGAAGTGCTAGGCCAGGGGGCGCTCTCTGAGGAGCTGGGCCTTCATTGATTATTTTTTTTCCACAATGCAACACAGAGTGAAGAAAATAAATTCTACTCTTTACTTTTAAAGTCCTGCTCTGCTGTAAACCTCTGCAGCAGCTCCGGTGACACCTGTTACAGCGACTGTTACACTGTTACACTGTTACGCTGTTACACTGTTACACTGTTCTCCGAGTGTCTTCTCCAGAACCAAGAACTGTGGAACATCTCAGATCCACTCCTGGTCTCCTGACGTGTCGCTGAGCTGCAGTTCCACTCGTCTACATGACAGGAACGCACGGCTTCACAGCTCGATGTTTAACACCTGGCCTTGGAGTACACGTACTCACGTACTCATGTACTCCTTCAGATACCACTCGTGGTAATATCTTCACGTATGCAAATATTTGTCGTAGACACTGAACAGCTGTTCACAGAGACAACGAGGAGCTGAAGTACAGAGAGACGTACGGAGGGAATAAATGTGAAATGGACAGTTTTCAAATCATAATGGAGGACATGAGGGTTCTGGGGGGGGGCGAGGGGTCACTCAGTCACCAAGTTGGGGGGGGTTGTTTGTTTTTTTTACATGATGACTTGCTAATTTGTTGCTTAACCCATGTGATGGTCAGCGGTTCTTAGAAAGTCGTTTCATATTTAACAGTTTTCTAATGAGTGACAGGTTTGGGTTCTGATGTACTGCAGTTCTGATGTACTGCAGTTCTGATGTACTGCAGTTCCGCAGCTGAAGGATGTGGTTATATCTGAGTCATCTGGACCAACTGTTAGCATGAGTCACTCCGTCTCAGGCGGCCTTTCAGCGGTTTGATCGCCTTGGAGAAACTCACATTCACTGGAGACGTGATGCATCTGGTTGAGTATAAAAGACGGACCTGAATAGAACCGGTTCCTGTCGATGGAACGTCAAGTTCCAACTCTGATAAAAGAGTTGAAAAGTTGTCACGGCGCTGGGATTCAAACACTTGACAGACACACGAGCCACGCAGGCTAATTATGCAGTCACCGCCGTCATGTTCCATTTCCAATTAGACAAAGGACATAAATAGACAAGACACCAGGCTAGCCCCGCCCCCCGTGTTTTCCCTCCTTCCCTGCGCCGCTCCGTCTCATTATCGGCTTTCTTCAAAGACGAGATAAATGCCATTGATTGGACGGTGTGCGGCACCAGGCCAATTTGAATAAAGTGATTGCTGGAGGTGCCACTCGCTAATGGTGGGCGGAGAGCGGCGAGCTTCCTGTGCCTCCACTTCCTCTCAGAGCGGCGGCAGATGTGGGGACATTCTGTGCTGGTGGATGATGGATGTTGAGATGCCTGCTCTGAGCCCGAGCGCAGCCCGAGCGCAGCCCGAGCGCAGCCCTCGCTCCTCCTACTGCTACTGCCAACCGTTAAAGACCAACGGGTTCAATTACAGGGAGATGGCTCTTTTTGGAGGAGGGGGTGAAGAGGACAACGGGGACATTTTGGTAAACATTATCCTCAGCACTGACGGCTGTCTTCTACCTGCACTCACTAACACGACCAGATGTGGCCCAGAGGTCACGGAGCCGACCTTTCAGGACGGTTGACGATAAACACCTCACACCTGTGGGCCTCAGTTTGACAAAGTCTGAGCATCAGCATCATCCAACATGAACGCACTTCGTCACATCAGTGTAATTCTGTCATGAATCACAGTTAAAGAAGCTCAACGTGAAGCGGCACCGAGAGGTGAAGAGTTCAAAACTCAGGAAAACTGGCAGCGAAAACCGTCTCTCTGTCCCCGAACACTTCAACTCCATCTGCTCCGTGGCAGTTGTCCAGGACAGTAGCTGCAGCTGCAGCCCAGTCTGAGGTGTCTGAGGTGAGGGAGTGGGGGGTGAGGGGGGGTGAGGGGGGGTGAGGGGGGGTGAGGGGGGGTGAGGGGGGGTGAGGGGGGGTGAGGGGGGGTGAGGGGGGGTGAGGGGGGGTGAGGGGGGGTGAGGGAGTCTGGGAGTTTGCTCATTTTCTTTATGATACTGTTTGCAGTAAAATTCTACTACTTATCAAAACCCTCAGGTGAAGTTGCAGTTATTATTAACACCTGTGTGTGTGTGTGTGTGTGTACAGACACACACAGAGACAGCAGTTCTTTCAGCTCCGATGCATTTGTTCCAATTTAATAAAAGAATCCACTTCTTTTGCCCCACTGTTGAAATTGTGAGCTAAAAGAAATGACTTTCACTGCGTTCACCCCAGGAAACCAGCCATCGATGTTTCGCTTAAACAAATTAAATTATTTTCAGCGACGTTAACATTGATTTCTTCTTTTCTGTTACTTGTTCATTTAGACACAACAGTGGAAATGCAACGTTGAGGCGAAACCCAAATGCTGAAGCAGTGAAAAAAATAAAAAAATAAAAAAAACGAAACACAAAAGTGTTTAATCCTCCAACAAAGAACAAGGTGAAAAAAAATCATCTGAAAGTCAGAACATAAAGGAGGAGAACGCTGGACAAACGCGGCCTCACTGTCCACAGATGTCACGTTATTATTGGAACCAGGCATGAAAAAAAAAAAGAATTTCAAAATAAAACGCCGGTTAAAAATGACTATAATAAACTCTTTAGTCCCTGAAGAACCAGCAAATCACAGAGATTCAGTAAAATTTATTCGAGCTCTAAATATATATATTTATATAATATAAACAGTGAATTCATCACAAAAACTGTTTTATTAAAATAGCAGAAAGTATGATCTGTGGGTTTAATATTCAGTTTCAGTAAATATTAAATCATAGTCATTTTTAGATTCACAGCAGAAAGGGCAAAAATAAATGTGGAATAAAAGTAGCTAAAAACTTTTCTTTATAGAATTTTTTTTATCTTTTCTTTTTAAGGTAATTTTAGTAAAAAGGTCACCGATGTTGAAATTAGATTTTTGTCAAACATTATTGGTGGATGTTTATTTTGGAATCCTATGCGGGCCAGATTGGACAGTTTTGTGGGCAGGATTTGGTCTGCGAGCCACCAGTTGATGACCAGTGCTGTAGCACTAAAAGACTCAGAGGACACTGGGAGAAAAAATATGGAAAAAAAAAGAAAAATATATATATATTCCCGGAGTTTACATCCAGTCAGAACAAGACAGGAAATGATCTGTGTGTAAATGATCAGGTTTTTTTTTTTTTTTTCCTGATGAATTTTAACGGCGTCTCTGGAAAACTCCTAATTACGACGACTGCGCTGCATACCAGCTGGTCTCGCTGGTTTCTTTTCATCTCTGGTCGCGTCACGTGACATTTGAGGTGACGCTGACATTTAATGAGCATAAAAGGAAACATGGGATTTTCAACGTGTACGTCTCAGCAACTCCACGTTTAAATTCTGTAAATAGACAGAAAAATAAATAAAAATACTGCAGTACCTGAGTGCTGGTTTACTGTACCACAGATACTGGTAGAGTACACGCAGTAATACTGAGAGTAGAGTTCTCTCCATTACTACAGTAGCTCCACCTTCACTGATTAATCTGAATATTCTAGAAGTAGATTAGGATTTACTTTTCTATTCTATCTGACTCTACATCTGTCTGTTTGACTCGTCTCTACGTCACTGTCACTTTTTTCCCAGTTATATGACAGTTTCATCTGAATGTTCTAGTTTTTCTGTTTTTCTAAATTAATCTGATATTTTAGAGATCAATCTGTTCTATTCTAACCAAAATCTATTCTATTTTAATTTAATCTGCCTGTTCTATTCTACTCTATTCTAGGCCATGCTTTTCTATTGTGTTCCATTCTATCCTCTTACTTCATTTCCGTCCTGGTTCTAGTTTCATTTGATTGTATATTCTAGTTTATTCTATTCTATTCCACGCTGCTCTTTTCTGTAGCTTTTGGTTTTTTTTTTCCTTCTTCTTTTCTACTGTATCTGATTCTATGCACAGGTGGTCAAAATCTGCTCCATCTCATCCACAACCTTCTCTGCAGCAGCTTCTCATCTCAGCAGATGTTTTCAGCGTATTTGAATGTGTCCTTTTGGTAGGTGGAAAAAAAAAAAAAAAAGAAAAACTCCCATCATTCTGTGAGAAGGTTCTGAAGTTGAAAGTTAAATTAATGTGATTACATACGTTCTCCCGATGCTGCTGCTATTTCTGACAGCAGCAGCAGAGGCAGCGACGAGTCTTTGGTTTTGAAAAGCTGCGGCTCATATTAAATGTTAACAGTCCTTATACACCACATGGTTAGTGTATAGCTGCACACGGCTAATTTCCATCTCTGCGCTCCAGTCACTGCCCTCACCGTCTCACACCTACACGTCTTTCTCTCTCCCTCCCTCCCTCTCCCTCTCCCTCTCTCTCTCTCCCCCTCTCTGTGTCGCCCACTCACAGTGCACTGAACCTTCCCCAACAGCAGCTGAGTAACAATATAGCAACTCCAACTTCTCAAACACGCTGCTGCTTTTGCAGAGGGATGATGAATCACCGGGCTCTTTATTTAAGGTTGGGGAGGCTCAGCGACCAGACTGTGCCTGACGTCTGAGCCTCAGCCTCACATTCTCCAAACCCTCGACATGTCAATATTAATAGAACAAAAAAACAAAAAAAACAAAAACGACCTTACTGTCCTCAGAAGTTGTCGCCACAGCGGCGTGTTTACGGAGATGTTTGTTTTCACGTCGGAACCCTGAACTTCTTACATGTTGGATTTGGTTAGTTATTTCACTCCTACTGCTTATTCCAAATCATGGGGGCGGGGGCTTAGGCGTGTGACGCCAAACCCAGAATTCCTCAGAAAAGTAGGTTCAGGTTCTGGGAAAAAAAAAACCCTCATCTAATCCTGCATGATTCTGAACACAAAGACCTGGAATTGAACCGGTGACCTTGATGCTGTAAGGCAGGATCACTAGCCACTTTTCCACTATGTAGCCCAATCAATAGCAAATACATGATACTAAAAGAGACCAAGTTCCTTCAACTGAAAACACCAGAAACCCCCCAACGGTGCAGACCATTTGCCCCAGTACTGGGTACTTTTGGGAACTGTTGCCTCGACGTTGCCTTTTATGACACATCGTCGGAGCCGTTGCAGTCGGTCCATCAGCGAGTCATAAAAAAAAGAGAGATAGAAAGATATTCAAAGCTCATTAAAGCTCATGTGACTAATGAATCCACTGAACAAACGAGGTTCAGCTCGTTTATCTCCGTCCTGTCAGTGTCCAATCACGTATCTCCCTTCTTCTCACGCTGCTCTTTCATCTTCTCTGTTATGATAAATGTTTGACAAAGATACGTGACATAAATGACAAGTCATTAAATTAAAAAATTTAAAAAAAAAAACTCATCGACATAAATGAATTATTTCAAAATCCGATAACGACATGTTTTTTAAATGTATCTGTTCTGTGACCAACGCTGTTTCCTGGGGGATTAGTATTAGCAAAGGACTAGTACTGCAATACTGCAGTACAATAGACGGAGGAGGAGAGGGTGGGGAAGTGGGGGTGGGGGGTGTTGGGGGGGGGCATGACAGTAGATTGTTCCACCTGTCACCAAGAATTTTCCTGCCAACTCGAAGGTGTTTTGAGTCCAGGCAGGAAGCTCAAATATTATTGGACGGTTTTAACTTCAACAGCAGGAAGTGATGTCATGGTTAGCTTACTGTTGCTATTCCTAAAGGTAAGAATAGGGATACCCAAGCTAGCCTAGGTTAGCATCTCCTCGTGATGAATTAAACAAAACCAAAAAACTTTTTTTTCCAAAAATCAGGCGACGTCGCAGCAGGAGTTTTGTCAGTTTTTATGGAGGTTTTTTTTCCACAGCTTTGTCAACAGTTTCTTTAGTTTTGTTTTTTTCCACAGCTTTGTCAACAGTTTATTTTCTCCCTGCAGGATTCATATAACGCACCTTTGAATATATGTGGAAAAATGAAGCCACTCCTTTCATCTCCATCTCGTTACTTCTCCCATTCCTAACTCTATTCATATAACGCACCTTTGAATATATGAATATGTGGAAAAATGAAGTTACTTCTCCCATTCCTAACTCCTCCCGTGGCCTCAGGGCGGAGATATGAAAATGTATCAGTTTGTGAAGTGGCGCAGCCACAGAACATCCTCCAGATTAATGACTGCAGACAGGTCTGCGGTGACGAGGGAAACAATCCCCACCGTGTCAGGAAGGATATTACGTTGACATGTTTCGTACTTGACAGCTAATGTGTTCTGCTTCAGATTAGGGCTCCACCTACAGGCGTATGAGCGCCACCTACGACTACGAACTTCACCCAGATACACTTGTTAACGAGGGTTAGTCAAAAAGTTGTAAGAAAAATCCAGCCACTATTTATTTACAGGTATAAAAACATTTATCGACGTATCTTCAATTTAAGACTTGAGACATTTGTAAACTGGAATCGTGAATTCCTTTTTCTCTAGAATTTCTGCTGCAGAACGTCTCAGGCGCCAAGTCACGTTTCCTCGTCTCAAAGGAATGAAATTGAGTTTTTGTTTTTTAATCAAATGTTGGTTCAGTTTTGGTTCAAAGAGAACATCAGATTGAGGTACATCGAAACATTTTGACAGACTTCAGTTATGTGGAAAAAAAAGATTGTTCTGATTTGAAAATGGTGCAGTTTTGAAGTTTCAGAAATGGAAATAGATCGAACAGTTTTTAGCAGAAAAGAAATAATTGAAAATATCTTTGTTAGAAGTTACTGTTATGTTACGAAGAAAGACAAAAACTTTGGGTTTTGTTTTTATGTAATAGCATAAGTGAAAGTCGTAAACAATCAGAAGGACAGGATTTCTGGGGCCGCAGCAACAACAACAACAACAACAACAACAACAACAACAACAACAGTCTAAACCAAGACAGGATTTGAACCCGAGCTCCACTGAACCACAGGCCACCACCAACAGAATCTGTGCAGTACTGTACATGGTTGCATGTTTGCACAGTTGCGATGTGGCTCAAAAGCACTAAGTCAGTACGGATTTGTTTCCATGACCTCCATCTCCTCAGGCTCCTCCTTCAGAGAAACTCAACTTGACTCTGTGGTCGACCAAACTGAGACCAGTTTCCAACACGATTTGTTCTGGTCACTGACTCTCTCTTCTGTCCAACGCTGTTTAACACCAACTCCCAAAGTTCTCCCCTGAGCAAGTGGGGGAGTAAAAAGCCACGGAGCAGTGGCGTCTGATTCCAGATGGCTGCTACAATGTAGGGCTCAGAGGACGAGCACTGAAAAAGGAGATTGATTTCCTCTGTAAGAGCGCCACAATCCGTGCTTTGTGTCGCAGCTCTGCAGACAAAACAACAAACCTTGGAAATGTTTTATCTTTTTAATCTGACATGGACGGAGTCGGACTTTGGCTCTGCTCGATGTGGAGCAGAGTTCTCTCAGTTATACCGTTAGTGTTACGCCTCATCTGATGAATTATTTGCTTCATCTCCGTTCATTTTTCTTTCCAATTTAAGCTAATAGAGTGTCTTTTTTTATTATCCAATGAAATTACTTTTTTAACAAAGTAAATTCCTCCTGACCCTGACCTTGACGTTTTTAACAAAGTAAATTCCTCCTGACCTTGACTTTGTTGCTCTTTATCTCGTCCAGACGCTGCTGAGGGACGGCAGGAGAGAAAGCACCGTCAGCACTCTTTACCTTTCACCAACCAACATCGAGACAGGGCAGCAGATCATCTGCAAGGCCTCCAACAAGGCAGTCCCCAACGGCAAAGAGACCAGCGTCACCATCGACATCCAACGTGAGTAAACCAACTTCAAACAACCAACTCTGTTTGTCTCTCCGTTTTTTGAACGTCTTGTTTTTTATGTTTCAATGCATTTTATGGACCAAAAAAAGTGGGGAAGTAAAGTTAGGGCACCCCCTGGAGTCACTACCAGTCCGTTGCAGGCCAACACACAGAGAATCAAACAAACATTTCTACTCAGATCTGTGTCTTTGGCCACGAGACTTGATCTCCAACAGAAACTCGATAAAATCCTCCAAACCACACCTGAGCAAATATGAAAATTCCACACAGATAAACACTCTAGAATTCCTTTAGATTTCACGAATAATTTCTCACCTACACCAACAACAAACCGAGGGCCAGGCACAGATGACAAACAATAAACACGGCAACCGTTTCAGGCTCTGATGGTTCTTAAAAATTGGTTTCCATTCTACTGTCAGTCGTCGGTGGTGGGTGGACGGACTTGCGATGTATTGCGTTTTGGTTTCTCACAGTGAAATATCACAGATGTCCATCTTAAAAGAATGGGACTGTCGTTTTTCTGGTCCAGCTACGGTACCTGCCGGATGTGGCGGCGTGGACACAGTCTCCGCCCCTTTCTTATTCTGCTGCCTGTGCCATCAATCTTTGTGCTGAAAGCACACACACAATTCTCCCACAATATAGACAAAGTAAGGCCAGTGTGTAAAACACATACAGCCCCGATTGTCAAGGAATCTTTTTTTTATCACCATGCATTCACAGTCCACGTAGGGAAGGACTCAGAACAAAGGGATTTTGCATCACTCACAGCCCCTTCAACACCATTAAGTATGACTAATAAACCAGAAAATGCTATTTAGAGAGCCATTATGACTGACGGTCCTATTCTTTTCATTATGTACGCCACAAGAGGCAAGCATGGCAGGAGCGGCCGCAGCTCTAACAGGCCAACTCAAGCGCGGGAGTAAAAATGATTAACAGTTGTTAGTGTTTGCAGCCCTGGCAGTTTCTCCCTGTCGTCTCTTTGTCCTGCAGTCAAACAGGAAATCGTGCCCACACGTAAAATGATTTGTCACCGTGTATAATGATGTGTTGGTGATAAACGCTCACCATCCGAGCAACGTCCCTTCATCTGAAGATGTGGTTAAACGGATGCAGCAGAATCCTTACAAGCATTCCAAGAGTCTGCTTTTTGCTCAATTAAAATCCCCCCCAGAAAACATTTCTCACAGCGAGAGATCAAACTAAAACTAATTGTCAAAATCTTAAATCATCTCTCGAAGGATAAGCTCACTTTTTTTTTTTTTGCTTTTTTTCCTTCCTCCTCCGGTTTCACTTCCCCGCCCCGAACTTCTTAGTCTTGACAGGTAAAGTGTTCCGCACAGACTCTGGAGTTTCTGCCAAGTTGCACTTCTAAATTAAGATGCTCTTTAAATAATATTCATTTGTGTTTGGAGCCTAATTCCACTGCTGTCTTCTTTGATTTATGCTCAGCGGCGGCGGTTGAAACGCTGCCCGGTTCTTTTTTAACCATGCAAACTAAACATACAGCTGAGATCACCAACCATTCCCACCTTACAGTCATAACCGTGGGCACAAAGTGCCAAGAGTTCACTCAATAATCCACACTCAGAGCTAAGGGATCACCCCAGTGATCTGGTGATCTATTCGCCGCTAGGCACAGACACGAGCCGCTAGTCCGTCGGGTTCCTCTAAAAAATGCATTTGATGATTTTGTTATGACTGATGTAAATATACGCAGGTGGAAACCCGCTGTCAACGCGTGGTGAAAGGTAAGAGCAGCCAGTGAATTACCTCTTCACAGCACACGGATCTCCGACCTGTCTTTCTCCTGCCTACGAGACAACTTCCTCAGCGAGCCTTTCTAGGAGCGGGTGACAGCCGTCACCCTGCCTATCAGTGCAACGCTTCTCTCAGGCACCGTCTGACAGTTTATGAAATATAAGTAAGACTTGACCGTCCCGTCTTTACTGCGTTTCTGCCTCCCCACTGGCAAACGTTGTGTTCACACGTCAGAGCGGAACGAGGCTAGATCTGCAACACGCTCAGGAAACCGGACGATTTAAGACAGCTTTCAAGGGTAAACACTCTTCTATTTTTAACCAAAGAAAAGCATCATTGAAACAACAACACAAAGACTCTGCTGAAATATTGGCGAAGCACAAAACGGGAGCGGAATGAAGGTGTCGGAGGAACGGCTTTTAATGTAGGATAATGAAGCTGCAGAAGAACACGTCAATTATCTGGGCTTCTAAAGTGAAGCAAATGAGGCGGCGAAAACAGAAAAATTTAGGAAATGGTGTTTACAACAATAAAAGTAGAAAAATAAATTTGAGAAACTGTGACTGGAATATACAAATATTTCAAAAGTGAACATGAAGTAAAAAAAGGTATCGAGTCCCAAACAGTGAACAGATGTCACTGTTGTAGTCAAGTATGAATTAGACACTTTATATCATGTTTGTCAATTAGATCACTTCACTGCGTACCACCACAAGTTAAAATCCAAATCCTTTGACAAACCAGGCTAAAGTTGAACAATGCTAATGTTCATCGTCGTCGTCATTCGTTACATTATTGACACTTGAACAATGCTAATGTTCATCGTCGTCATTCGTTACATTATTGACATCGAGCCAATCAGAGGAGCAGAAACAAAGTAATGGAGCGTGTCGATGATGGCGTTGTCGCCCGGTCTTTTTTTGTTTTTGTTTTTTATATCATGACAGTGAATGTGCCACATCATCAAAGCCAACATCACTGTTGTTTGAGCCAATAGAGAAGTCACACATGTTGTAAAACCTAATGGATGAAATCAAAACGTATCGATCAAACTAGGCATTAATGTGGAGATGAAAAGTTTTGATTCACATACATGTTCATAAAAATTCACGTGACTTTTTTTTCCTGCATCGCTGTCATCAGTTTGGCTGCAGTTTAGGTTTAGGTTTAGTTGACTTCAAGTGAAGAAAAGCTGAGAGTCTTTCATGGAAGTGAGACACTTTGCATCATTTGTCTAATTAGCTGCGAGCTCCCACGGTAAACCAACAGCTATCCATGCTGCCATTAGAAACCAACTGAAGCTAAGCTAACAAGGTTTACTAACTAAAGAACGTTACATCAGACGGTGGGCGGTGAACAGCTGAGTCTGACTCATCCAGTCATACAGTTGATCCTGGAGAAACAGTAACGCAGACGAGCAAAAGTTTTTTTTACATAATTACCAAATGATACCTCTTTAAAATGTAGATAATTAAACAGTCAGAAACTGAACCTCCTGCACAGATCTTTGTCATTTCATTCAGATTTCTGCGTGGGAACCGACTTCAACGCCCGCTCTCATTCAGTCGTTTTCTCCTGCTTGGCTAATTACGTGTATTAATGAGATAAAAAGAAAAAAAAAACATATTCTATATCGCGGCCATGCCTTTCCTGCTCCATCTAAAGATCAACCCCACACAGACACAGACACAGAAAGCTGCAGCTCAGAACAGACTGATACACTACAGGTTCCATGAACACATTTCCTCTTTCCGTGGCTTTAAAGCTCATTAACACAACACTAACACAAACCTGGGTATTTCCGTTCTCGCACTGAAATTCATACGGCGCTGTGTGACCGCAGGGTTACAAAAATTAGATACGGCGCTGTGTGACCGCAGGGTTACGGAAATTAGCATCCAATTTAATTTCATTTTTTTTTTTTCTTTAGTGATGATGTTGTGTATTAGAAGTGTTTCTAACCGTCCTCAGAGGTGGTGCAGAGACGGGGGACAGACTGCTGACTTCAATTGTCCAGACCGGTCCATTAGACGCCTGTAATTATTTGATAGCAGAAGGGTGGCGACTCCCTGATGTTGTTTTCTTCACCAGCAGGACTTAACTTGCATTACACCCTTTGGACTTTAATCACCAAACTACCCCCCCGCTGCAGTGAATTAGGTTTCTCCCACTACAGTCCAGTCCCGTGTCCTGCTGAGTATCACTCTTCTCATATTATTAAAATATTCCTCCGACATCCCAGCGTCCAGCTGCTTATCGGCAGATTATTGCCCCCACATCATTTCCTACTTCCAGGCATGAAGTGGGAAACGACTGCACCAGGGATGAACACAGACTCTCTCTCTCTCTCTCTCTCTCTCTCTCTCTCTGTGTGTGTGTGTGTGTGTTTGCATTGCAAACAGGCTTAGCCATGTGAGGGATAAAAATTAATGCCATTTGTTGAGACTAATTAATAAAGAACATGCAGATGTGCAGTTGGGGAGGATTTGGTTTTTTTTTTTTTTTTGGAAAGCTGGCTCAGCTTCACGCTCTCTCTGCTTAATCAATTAGATAATGACACACACACACACACACACAGACACACAACAGAGGAGGAGGAGGAACACCGAGGCTAAAGTGGAGGAGAACAAGAACACAGGGTTAAGGAACGCTCGGAGAACTTCAACAACCTGATCGGATACATTTTAAAGTCATCTCCATCATTGATGTTTTATCTGATGTTCCAAACTTCCACCACTTCAGTTCCATATCAGTTCCAAAGCACTGATCACAGAAACACCGAGACCTCGTACATATGTTGTGGGTTTTTGTTTTTTTTTTTTTCATGCCAACTTCATAAAGAACCAACATCATCTGCCTTCGTTAGAGCGAGTGAAGCCTGAGCCTCGTCATGGATAAAGATGACGATGATCAATAAGTGGAAGCGCAGTCTGTCAGGCAGCGTATCCGTCCCTGAAGTGTTCCACTCCAGCACTCGTGTGACAGTTTGTCCATATTGCTAAGGCTACAAGCCACGAGCAGCTGGTTGGAACCTCAAACAGCTTCCCTATCCTTCAGCGTTTGTTGGAACTCCTGGAGATTCCGGCTGCTCCTGTTGGAAAACATCTGTCTACGGTGACCCCGGATAGATGGGAAATTGAGGTTTTTGAAACGAAAAAAAAAAAAAAAAACTATTTGGATACGCAATTTCCCTCCAGAAGCAGACAGAAGTTGGAAGCCTTTTTTTTTTTTTTTTTTTTTTTTTTTCAAAGCCACCATCTGGTCTCTACTTTGAACTAACTCATCAGAAGCTGTTGGCCAAATATAACAAGCCTTTTCCCAATCATTCATCTTTTTGTTTCATTAGTGTAATTATCCTCCTTCCCCACTATCACACTCCCTCCACGGCTCTCTTGTTAAGGCTGAGGAATCCAACCGTCGTCGGCGTATTGATGTCTCCAAGTACTGGAGCCTCTATACAGCAGAGCAGCAGATGGACTATATTATCTGTCATAATCAACAGGTCAAAGGTCAAGGGAGTGACGGGCCTGTTGTCTATACATGCCTTTGACTGGCTGTATAGAAAGTCAATGCTAACTGATGCTATCATGTAGCGGCGAATATAAAGAGTTGTGGAAATAATAGTGGTGGGATGTGCTAAAGACACACCTGCGCCCCCAATATTGAGCACCCTACACTCTGCTAATGTGAACGAGCCATGTCCTGTTTGACGCCTAAATCCAAGAAGACCTGATCTGACGTCACAGATCTGAGCAAACAGTGACACAATACTGTGATGGACTCAGTCGTCTTGTCTTATTATGGGATGGCGACACTGTTTCCCTCTCAGACTTTAGCTCAGGTGTCAATATTGAAGAAACGTTCTCCTGCAGAGACATCACTAAATGCATTCTGTTCATCTTCTTCAGGCAGGCAAAAAAAAACCAAAAAACTTTAGGTACATTACTGCCACCTACAGGCTGGAATGCTTTACAGTAACTTGTGTTCCCTAAACTCAGTGAACTTAGCGAGGTACAATTTATTTTAAGTTATTGTCTGTATTTAAATAATCTAAATTAAAAATAATAATAAATAATAATTAGAGGTTTTAATGTGAGCTGACAGACAGATTTGGAGCCTGGTTTTACAGAAGGTCCAGGGAAAAAAACGTAGTGTTCCTAAAATACTGCCTGATGGGAAAAAAGGCGATGAATTACATTGTTGTTGCTATTAATGCAGCCACCTCCTCCCTCCCCTCCTCCCTCCTCCCTCCTCCCTCCTCCCTCCCTTTTTATTTTCACTCTTTAGCTTCTTGCTGAATTTTACTACCACCTCCACCAATGCCACATCTGTCGTTTTGCCCCGAGGTTCATTCTGCCCACAATTTTGTCCACACAATTAACTGCGTGTGATGCTAAAAACACCTCCCTCCTCGCTAACGCTGCTGCCGACGCCGCCGCCGCTGCTGCTGCTGCCACCACCACTGCTGCTGCTGCTGCTGCTCAAGGCAGGAGAACAGTTTCTATTTCATTATAACACACTTCCTCAGCTCCTTTTGTTGTGCTCTTAAAACCCAACTTACTCATCCAAACACAGAGGCCCACAGTTGGCCGCTCTGCTCAGACTTGTTGGCTCACTCTGGCCTTCATTCTTCCAGAATCAACAATGCTGTTGTTTTTCTTTCCTGGCCTGGGGGGATTTGGCACAGGTGGACATCATGGATTTGAAGGTGGAAGTGTTGGTGGGGAGGTGGCGGACAACTGTCCTGCAGGGAAATGAGTCTGTTGGTTGGGTGTGTGTGTGTGTGTGTGTCTGTGCCTGTGTTCTCTCTCCAAATGCCACTCTCTACGGCCATATCTGGAGCTTTGGGGCAGCTGAGCACAACCAAAGAATCTGCAGAGCAACAGGGTAAAAGGGAGTTTTCCTCCTCACCCACCCCCCCACTCACCCCCTCCCCCCCCCCCCCCCCCCCTCCCCCCCACCCCCCCCCCCCGGACACGC